CCCCAAAACCCCAAAACCCCAAAACCCCTTAAAATATGAAAAATATTGAAATTCAAAATGAAGAAATCTAATAAACTCATGGATTCAGATCAGTTCTCTGATGGATTCACTCTTCTCATGGTACACTGTGAAAGTGGGAATTTAGAAGAAGTTATAAAATTGGTTAACAAATGGTCCAAGAAAAGGGTTCAAGCTGAACTTCGCAAGACAAATAGCTTTGGAAACACTTCTTTGTCTCTAGCTGTTAAGAATAATCATCATTCTTTGACTCAATTTTTGCTCGAACAAGGTGCTGATGTCAATGGTAAGGCTTTCCAAAAATATTTAGATCCTAATCATTCAAGGCAACCTCTTCTATTCATGCCATGCTGGAAAAATGATCTTGGAATGGTGAAAATCCTCCTTGAGCATAATGCAGACTTAAATTTTCAAGATTCCAGAGGTTGGACAGCACTCATGATAGCCTCAGCACAAGGATTCGAGGACTTAGTAAAGTATCTTCTTGATTGAGATGCAGATACTACATTAAAAGATAAATATGGAAAGCAAGCAATAGATAAGGCTAAATCGCACAAAATATTCTATATGCTTTCTCAATCTGCTGTTGAACAAAATAGAGCCCAGCTAGAAGTCAACGATGAAAGAATACTCCCTGATTTAGAGATTGAGTCCTTGCATAAATCTGGTTTCAAGGCAGAATTTGTACAAGACCCAGATTGTAGCTCTATTAAAAAGGTATATTATGATATTATTTCCAGGAACTTTTTAATAGCCCTGAGCTAGTTCAAGACCATCCAGAAGAACAGACAAAGGCACATTATACAAATCCAAAACCTTCTATAAATAAAAGTCCTATTTCCAAGAGAAAGAGAGCTGAAAGAGAACAGAATGTCAAGAAAGTCATCCAGAGCAGTATAAAAAGAAACGCTGAAAGGATGAATGTGGCACAGAAATAGCGTCTTCTCAGCTCTAATTCAGGAAGAAATTCTTGAGTCCTCGAATAGGATCTTTCAGAAGCTGTATCGGTCTATCCTGACTTCGAATGATAAGCTCAAGCAGGAATTGGTTAGTCATGTAGACCTGAAGCTGAAGGTAGCATGCCTCGAAAGAGGCATTTTTAAGCATGAAGATTTCACTGGGAATAGAGTAAGCTCTTGACATTCATTTTTAGCCATTAGACATCATTGGTAAGAAGACTATAGCAGGAATCAAATCAGCTAACTTTGAATATAGCCCTCAGTGATGTAAAATGTGTTAGTAATAAAGCATTCAAAATGACTAAGAAAGAGCAAAATAAGATTGAACAGGTTCTCAGAAGCCCAGAGAAATTAACCCCGAAAAGGCAATTGAAGAAGAAAATAGAAGCTCCAGATACAGACTTGAGTGGGCTAAAGTACTCTGCCAAAGATCTGGAAGCTCTTATTTCAGAACAAGTTCAAGAAATTGAGGATATAAATGTCAAGAATTGTGCAAAACTAATCAAAGATATCATTGCTGATAAAATTAGTAAGTTCCAAATGAATTACACAATTGGCTCACAAAGTAACACCTTTTAGCAAAACTTCAAAATATTGTGGAGGAAAATATCGAGAGAAAATTTGAAGAGATCCAAAGATCATTTGATAAAACTTTTACACAGCTGATCGAAGAAAAATGTAACTTTTTGTTCACACAGGGTCAGAAGGCTGGTATTATTTGCTTTAATTTTAGCTAAATACATGTTAAAAGAGACACCAAATTCTTCAAAGAAGATGTCTTCATCATTAAAGAGGGTAAAGAGGTCTGCTTCTAAGCCGAATTTCCTCAGTAACAAATCAGAAGACCATCTATTTTACCACAAGCCAAAGGATATTTCCTACAATGGGCCTTTAATAATGAGGGTTCCTTCAAATCACACCTCTGAGTCAGGTACTAAAGTTCGTAAATATACTCTTTCCAAGAGTTTTCATTCTATTCCAAAAATGAGTATGACGCCTCGAGTTGATGATGAACATCACATTGATGAAAACTCCAGATCTCCAGAGCCAGAGTCCTTCCATTCTCCCCAAGCCAAAGAGATTGTACCAGAGGAGGCTCCAAAGCTGCATGATGACTCCAGTAGTCTTCATGGGTCCTTCATGAGCCAGGTCTTAAGTAAGAATGATTAGGGATTTCCCCTTTTTAAGAAGCTAGGTGGGCTCCTGTGGTGGTAGTACGACCAGAATATTAGGAATCCTTAGTAAAGATTTAGGACAGCAGATTGTTTATTGGGATCACTAGAATTTGAGCTATTTAGAAGGATAATTGGTGTGAGAAAGGTCTTGATAGATGAAGTAGTTATGAGACTTTTAGATCAATACTTATGAGACTAATGTCCTCCGTGCTTTAGGAAGTCGAGAGCTTTGGAGATATCGTAGATTTTATAGATGTCAATTAGCTTTTGCGATAATTGAGTTGTCAATTTTCATTCATTAAATTAATTCTTGATTTTTAGAAGAGGACTTAAGTCTAGGACAAGAGTCGCAGACTCAGATACAGTTCAAGTCAAAAAGAATGCAAGAGCTAGCAAAGAAGTAAGAATATCAGGATAATTCATGATTTCAATAAGATCAATAATGGTAGGGGTTTTGGGGTTTTGGGGTTTTGGGG